CACACACAGACAGACTTAGAAAACACAGCAGAATGCGGGAATCTCAGCAAAGCATCCATTCCATCGGCAGAACTTCAGAAATCAGCAGTGTTCTCAGTCTGTGTTTTGACGGGTCATTACACTACCCCCCCCTCAAGAGCGAGGTCCCTTCGAGCGAGTAACTCAATCAGAGTCCTTGCATAGTGCATCATAGGCGTAGATAGCAAAGAGAGATCGGGTGTGTTCCGTAGGAGTCAGGGTAGCAGTGAACTTTGGTTGCTGTTCAGCACTTATCAATCGTTCATAGGCATTAACGACATGCGGTGCACTCTGCAGTAAGTCTTTCCTAGCAATCCAATAGAAATCGTCCAACGGATGGTACAGAAAATGAACTTTGTACTGTCTGTTTCTTCCCTTCCCACTGTGTTCGACAATCCTATCAACCTCATGACCGCCATTGATTGCGCAGGGAATCATTGACTCTCGATACTTGAACATTTCAGGTGGTTCATATGGAAACAATTTTGACGCATGAAAAATTGGGTATGTGCGCAAATGTGCAGGCACATCAATCGTGTAGGAAGGACCGAAGGAATCACTCCCTACCTGGTTCAAGACCTGCCACGGACCGTAGTACTGAGGAAGAAGCTTTCGTGATACACCTTCTTCTTCAGAAAACTCAGACATTTTGACCCAGACATAACTTCCCACTGTGAATGGTGCAGGCTGGCGCTTCTTGTTAGCATGTTTAATCATGGCACTGCGTCGCCTTTCCATAGCTGCGACAGCAACCTTGAGCAACCGATCATACTTAGCGTTGTAGCCTGGCTGGCCAGGTGTTAGACCAGGAGGCTGTTCAGGGAACAGGTAGGATAGAGGATTGCGAATTTTCCATCCAAGATGCAGCCGGTTAGGCGTCATCCCGGTGGAGGAGTGGATGGAGTTGTTGTACAACCCTTGCACGATCGGCAATTCCTCATCCCAAGAGTTCTGATCAGGCACAATTAAGGCTCGGAGAAGTTGGATCACAGTCTGGTTGATCTCCTCGGCCAGTCTATTGGCTTCGGGATGTCGACCAGATGTCATCTTGAGTTTCATGTCATAAACCTGGGAGGTGAAGTCCTTCCATTCTGCGCTTATGAACCTAGTGTCCCGGTCACTCACAAGAGTTTTCGGGGGCCCACACTGCAGAATGTATCTTTTGTGAAACTCTTTGATCACAAGGTCAGTTGGGGCGTGAGGTGGTAGTGGGATCAGATTCAAAAACTTCGAAAAACGATCGACAATCACCATAACTTGGGAATAACCGTTTCTGCTCTTCTTCCCCATGTCCATGAAGTCAATAGAAACAGACTCCCTCGGGCCGTCAAGAATAGGAAGAGGGTGCAGCAGCCCGTAAGGCTTCTGCCGAGACGGTTTAATGCGTTGACAAACTTCACATTCAGCCACAAATCTTTGCGCCATTCTTTTCATACCAGTCCACACAAACTTTTCCAACAGATTCCCGTATGTCTTCTCAACACCGAAATGTCCACTCCGGCCATGAGCCAAATCCAAGAAGTGAGTGATGATCGGCTCATGGTTGGGTACACACAACCGGTCATGCTTACCGTAGCGTCGGAAGAGTAGGCTCTTACATTCATGGAAATCAGACTGACTGCTAGGGTCAGCCCGAATCTGCTCAAGGATGGGACCGAGTTCCGGGTCCTTGGCAATATGCTCGATGAGTTCCTCCTTTAGATCTTTACGCAGGTCGTAGGAACCCACAAGGCAAGTCATATACTCGGGGTGGCGAGACAAAGCATCCGCAACACGATTATAGCAGCCTTTCTTGTGTTTGAGTTCAAAATCATACACATCAATCTCATGCAGTCATCGGGTCAATGTGGTTGATGGGTTAACCTATGTCTGAATCCATTTCAAAGTCTCATGGTCTGAGAACACTTTGAAATGGCGACCCAAGAGGTAGTGTTTCCAGTGGTCTAGTGCCTCTCTCAAGGCATAGAGCTCTCTCATGTAGGTGGAAGCGGCTACCTTGTGACTGGGCATGCGTTTGTTGTAGAATTCAAGCGGACGTAAGCCATCACCGTCATCTTGCTGCAGCACCGCAACAATCCCATACAAACTTGCATCCGTAGTCACTACGAATGTAAGCTTGGGATCTGCAATGCGGAGTATCGGATGACTCACCAAGGCCTCTTTAAGTGCTTCAAAGGCTGTCGTGCATTCTTCATTCCATGTGTAGGACACATTCTTGCTTGTTAGCTTAGACAACGGACGGGCGGTGATAAAGAATTTAGGCACGAACTTACGGTAGTACGACGCAAGACCAAGAAAAGAACGCAACTTGCGGACATTCGCAGGTTGAGGCCACTTTCGGATGACCTCAACTTTGGTTGCCTCGGGCTCTCGGCCTGCAGCAAACAACCGATGTCCAAGGTAGATGACGCTGTCCCTCCCAAACTCTGATTTCTCCAAGTTGAGATGGAGTTGCGCGTCCTTGAGGATCTGCATTACTTCCTCAAGGTGCCTCATGTGCTCCTCCATCGATTTGCTGAAGGTTAGTATGTCATCCAGATATACAACAACAAATCGATTGATCTGAGTGCGAAACACTTTATCCATGAGACTTTGAAAGGTGGCTGGCGCATTCGTGAGACCGAAGGGCATGACTATAAACTCGTACAGCCCATCGCGATTTTTGAATGCGGTCTTGTGCTGGTCTGCAGGTTCGACTTCAATCTGGTGGTAGCCAGACTTGAGATCGATCTTGCTGAAGACTTTGCATCCACCTGCAACATCGAGCAGGTCATCGATACGTGGCAAAGGATATGCATTCTTTTTTGTGATTCTATTTAATCCACGGTAGTCAATACACATCCGCAACTTACCTCCTTTCTTAGGGACGAACAGCACCAGTGCACCAAACTCAGACTCACTTGGTTTGATCCATCCCTTCCCAATCATCTCATCAATTTGTCGTCGCAACTCCTCCAATTCGCCTGAGCCCATTCGATAGACACAACCTTTTGGAGGGGTGCTACCTTCAATCAACTCGATTTTGTGTCAGACCGGTCGCACGGGAACTCCATGCGGTTCGACCAAGACCTCAGGGAACCGGTTGAGAAGGTTGCGGATATCCGGTGGGATTTCCGAAGGGGGATCATCACTCTCAGGAGCAAGCATGTCAGTTTGTATAGGTGCAGCCAAAACAACTAGATTAGAAGTAGAGTCATTTGGACTAGAGATGGACTTAGTAGAGGTAGAAGTAGTTGCATCCGAGGTGGACACAGCATGCAAAGTAGAATCATCATGTACAGCAAAAATGAAAGGCACATGAGCAGGCCTAACAAAGGCTATATACATTTGCTCATCAGTTTTGCACCTGCGCCACTTTTTGCAGAACTGCATTGCATTGAGAAAGGTCACTTCGGACTCGCGCGGCTCATCCAAGAGGACTGGACGCTCGATTCCCATGGCATCTTTGACCATGAATTGTGAGTCCTTCCACGTGGTTCTTTCACATTGGGCCTGCAACCAGCCCAAACCAATAACCGCGTCGAAGGGGCACTGATCAAGGACATAGAAGTTCAACTCATGCGTGATTGTGCGGTCAGCGTCAAAGGTAGTGCGCACACCTTTGATTGCATGCGTAGAAGTGACAACCTCTTGGTTGCCCACTTGGGTCCGACAAGGATTCTGCAAAGTCACTTGCTTCATCCCCAAGCGTGCCTTACGAATGTCGTGCGGTGAGAAGTAGTTGGCGGTTGCACCACAATCAGCCAACGCACGGACGTAACGACCATTAATGTAGAGTTTGAAGAAGATCAACTTCGTTCTCCCTTGCGCGCGTTCTTGCTTCATGTGAGCCCAGCGCGTCAACAGAGAATGGAAGTCAATTTCTTTCGACTCTACCCAAGGCTCCTTGTATAGGATGTGGATCTTCTCAGTCTTGGAATCAGCATCAGATGGGGTTTCAGGAGAGGTTTGCTGAGTGGGATCAGAATCCAAAAAAGAATCTGTACTTACATGTTCAGCCTCTCCATCAGTAGAGTGTGCTGATGATGTCTCTACCCCCGTTGCTGGTTTCCCTGCTGCAATCTGAAACAGTGTTGGACTGAATGTCCCGGTTTGGTGCAATGCAGGCAAACTCCTCTCTTTACCCTGTTCTTCCACTCACTTTCACTAATACGGAGATCTACCCATGGTTTTGTGGCAGGATCTTCCGGTTTTGGTGGAATCTTTGCTCCCTTGGGAAGAAGGATAGTGTTAGTGTTGTTCTTCATCGTGGTCCTCAGTCCCTTACTTTTGAAGGCAGTCTTTTTAAAGGCATTCATAGATTCATCGTCATTTATACACTCAGACTCATGGGCTGACAAAGAGCAAGATACCCCGCAGTCTTGCTCTTGATCGTCATCAAGAGAAGGTTCTTCTACGAGGGTCTCCTCGTCAGCCTCAAGCAGATCATGCGCTGCAAAACGGTTGCTGCCTGGAAACCGTTTGCGGCCAGTGGCCTTTTTGCCACTTGATCCACCCGGGAGGTCTTGTGCCTCCAGCTTGACTAAGTCCCGCATAAGGGTAAGCCAATCTGTATATCCGCTGAGCCCGAGCCCTAGGCGATCTTTCATAGTAGAGGGGACCGTACCTTTTATCACATCCAAACAAGACTGCGCAGTCATCTCCAGATCCGGAGTAGCAAAGAGTTTACTGACGTACTGCTGAAGACTGTGCATGGTGCCGGTCCACTTGCTATGCTTGAGCTTGTCAAGCTTGAGTCTTGCTTTAGCTGCAGCATGTGGATCAGCATATTGCTTGATCAAGAGATCCTCAAGTGCGGCAGTAGGCGTAGCCTTTAGCCATTTGTTCAGGTTTATTCTCGTATAGCCTGATTGGACAGTTTGGGTTTCTAGGAAACCCCGCACGACGAGCTCCACATTGGTCCCAAGATAGACGACTGAGTGGACGGGGGTATCCCCAATACATCAAAGTAGGACCACATAGAGTTGATCCAAGACTCCACGTCGTCCTTTTCGTCATACTTGGACGGAATCTGCGCCGCCTTCCTGTCGATGTAAGCAAAGCTGCCGCCTGGCCCAGCCATTGCTGGGTCCGGGCCCGGGGCTGCAAGAGTTCCAGAAGTCCTTGCACCACCACTTGCCGCTGCAGCAGCGGCAGCAGCAGCAGGGTCTGGACTTGCTGTAGATCCGCTTTGGCTGTTAACCACACTCAAAGAAGAAGATGAAGTAGAAGGAGAAGAAGTAGACGTAGTCAGAGGGGCAAAACTGGACTGACACGCAGCATTGGAGGCAGGGTAGGTGAGTGAAGAGACGATTTGAGCCTGCTGCGAACTAGCAAACTGTTGCAGCTGATCGCGGTGCTGCTGCGCCATCTTGGCCATGTCTTCGCGCAACTCCTTGAGTCTCTCGTTTGCGACCGTGTAGACGCAGGCATTAATGAACTCAATGAAAGAAACAGCTTGGAATCATTCAGAAGAGTAGGTAGAACTCCTGGCCGGAGCGGCAATTCATTTGGACTGGAGAGCAGTCAAAACAGCAAAAAGAAAAGATCAGAGAGATCTGATCCAGCCACACAGTCTGGACTGACTACGTATGGGGTCCTCCCAAGCCTAGCCAGCCTCAGCTCCGTGAAAACACAGCAAATCAGATTCAAGATGTACAACGAAATGCAAGAGAGAATTGAGTGGTGTATAAGGTGCGAGTCAGGCGGCGGATTGCGTGGTAAAGTCTGATAAAACGTCCCAGCGGAAATCCCCTCCACAACGAGTGTCCTGGTCCGAAAACATAAAGTCCGTATCCCAATCAGATAGAGCAAGGTAACTGACGTCAACAGATTTGGCCTGAGGGGCCCTTGTTTGGGCCCGGTCCCACTGAGTCCCAAATAGTCTCAGTGGAGTCAGAACTGGGTCCCAACCAACAAGAGTTCCACAGAGACCTACTTTGTCCCTACTGAATTGAAAAACGAAATTTTGCCCCAGAAAGAACCTGTAGACTACCGCCGTTCAGAATGAAATAAACAAAGCATTGTAAAGAGATTTGGCATGGCAAACAAGATACTCCATTCATTCACTCATCAGGTGAGTAGGCAGTTCACACACCTCACACACAGTCAAGACTATGGAGGATGGAAGAAGAACCTAGAGAACCCCGACAGGCAGTCAACTCCATGCACACACACATGGGCACCCAGGTGGCACGACACTTACCTGAGTGGCCGGGCTCTTAAGATGAAAGAACTCACCCCCCTCTCACATAGTCCTCCTATCTACACTAGTGTCCTATCATCTAGGAGGGTCAACATCTACCCCAAACTACAAAGCCGGATCCCCCGTCAATGTTGAAGATCAAAGCAGCAACTTGCAGTCCGTAGGTGCAGATATGGCTGCCACCCTCAAGCTCGCCTACTTGAGGGGAGCCCTAAAGTCACTCCTCGTCTTCCCTGAAGTCCAAATTCAAGTTGTAGGTGCCCTTCATTGTCGCCTCTCTCAGATTGCATCACGAAGTCCCACCTTGTGTCTCGCCACCACAAACATGCACTCAAGCAACCTGGCGGGGTCTAGTGTCGACCCTACACGGCCCTGCCAGGCGGGAGCAGCTTCCCTTTACCACGCTGCCCCACTTAACCCTAACTTCCAGCCCTAACCCTAAGTGGTAGCCCTTACCACTAGGGTTAGGGTTATGGCAGCAAAGTCAACTCTCGCCAACAAGTAGAATCCGCTCCGATACCAATGTTACGATCCTGGCCAATTTTGAAGTCCACAATCATCAGAAAGTACAATGTTGTCCAATTGCGAAAAGAAATGAATGAACTTGAGCCCAATGCCGTCCAATTGCAAAAGAAATGAAAGAACTTGAGAGGAGAGAGAGGGAAAGAAGAAGAAGAAATATTAAGAAAGAAGAAGGAGATGATGTACTCCAGCATAGACCAAAKACAAAGCTCTTCTTCTTCGCTCAACAACCTCCTCCTCTTTATCTCCTCCTCYCTTATTCAAACAATAAATAAACAATAATMATGTTGAACAGCTGAACCAGAATCAATGTCCGAATCCCACTTCTACTGCAGGCACAAGATGAGGTCCACCATAGCCATGGCASCCCTTCTCCTTCCTCCACATACAGGCCGARGCTATGGCGGACTACTGAGGTTTCAACCTCCGGTACRAAGGACAACCCCAAGCAGCTACACCGCTGCCTKCCTTCAAGGTCATYACCCAGCAGCTATRCCGCTGCCCACTCAACCGCCATGCCTGACTCTGTCCAGGCTTCCTTGATGCGGCACTACCCCCACTGGGGCCTTCCWGATGCAGCGCCTAGCAAGGAGATGAAGATGGTGTCTACCATAGCCAGTAAGTACCTCGCCACTCTCCTCCTTGGTCCCCTTCTCCCTCCTCCTCCTACCGGTGGAGCTCCACCATAGCCAAGGTGGAAGCTCCCGGCTTCTTCCTCCCAGCAGCGCTGTAGAGCCCAGCGCTCCTCCACCTAGYGCTCCAGCAGCGTGACGCCCARCTCGCACACTGAAGAATGRGGCCGGGCTCTTTGCCCTGCCTCTTGATATAGCGGCCTACTTGCCTCCTGGGCGGTGAMTTCCAGGCCGCTCGGCCTCTCCAAGCAACCGGTACCTCCTCYGTTTCGGAGGGAAACATCATTGCAGACCCTGATATTACCCGTACAGGCTCTAGACTCAGACTGGTTGGACTGGTACCGGCCTAGACCTACCCTACCGCTACTGGACTCTAAAAATGCCAACTTTGTCTTTTTCTGCTCGGCCTCCAGTACCCCTCACGCCAACTGCAGTGGGGTGCAGTATCAGCCTACCGGCCTACTTGAGTGTTTTTCCGCTACCCCAAGGGCCTCAGGGCCGCTAGCTTCGCCACTTGAGTGTTTTTCCCTGCTACAACCCTCAATGCCATGGCCACAGGTAAGTACCGGCCCTACGGGCCTACCAAACAAGCAAGTACCCTTGCGGGTCCCACACACACTCACACCAACAAGCACTCAGACAGGCATGCAGGTCACAAGCACGCACACACAGACAGACTTAGAAAACACAGCAGAATGCGGGAATCTCAGCAAAGCATCCATTCCATCGGCAGAACTTCAGAAATCAGCAGTGTTTTGAGTCTGTGTTTTGACGGGTCATTACATTAGTGTGAATTCTGCTGCAAATCGTGGATTGCTGAACGCAACAAACTTCAAGCTGGACCTGAGAATGTTGGGAGATCAGTGAGGGAGGGTCACCGAGGAGATCAAATGTGGCTTATTAATTATTATTAAGATTCTGAGTTCATTCTAAATTTGTTATGAGCCACACCACGAATGCTGATGTGATCGCTCGAGACCCCGAAGGGTAAGAGGGAAGAGAAAAGTTGGCAGAGGCGTGATGTTTACTCTGAAGTAGGGTAAAACCCTGTTGATCGGAATTCACTATTGGCTTCGGTGTGTAGCATTGCGCTTGTTCCCCTTTTCCTTTGAAAAGAGGCTCAACGTATCATGTGGCCTCAACCGGTCCTTCGAAATCCCCTGCAGTATATGATGATATCATCAACGCTTGAGTCTTGACCTTGAAGGGGGAATTACCCTCTAGCAGCCCTTATCATTTCTTGCAGATGAGACTGTGAGACATCTTCCTGCCTGAGCCAAGGGATCCTTGAGCACAAGACGAAATAAAAGTATGGGGATTTGTTTCTGATTAATTAGTTTTATTATAGTCCAACGGGTAGCGTGAGACTTTGAATGCGACGCTCGTATTGGCGGTGGAGGAAGTTAATGCTGATACTGGAACCCTGCTGATCGCTGAGGACCTGGGAATCGGGCGCAACGAGTGACAGGCGTTGTAGCCCTTGGCCTCAGCGAACGGCAGAAGACCCTCCCCGGGTTTCCTCACACCGCGACTGCGAGTAGGTGCGCACAGCTTCTCCGCACGTGTGTGCGATGGCGGCGGCTGCTCCGCACGTGTATGGGTATTAATGCGAGGTGCGCGTGGCTCTCCCGCACGTGTGCTCGTTGGCACGCGACTCCTCCACACGTGTGCGTGATGGCGTGCCGGTGCGAGCAGGTGTGCGCGGCTTCTCTGCACGTGCACGCGATGATGTGCAGCTGCTCCGGACGTGTGAGTGATGGCGCGCGGCTGCACGCAGGTGCGCGCGGCTCCCCCGCACGTACGTGCGATGGCGCACGGCTGTCCGTTGGTGCGCAGGTGCGGGCGTGCTTGCCCATGCGCCTGTGCGTGTGCGCGCCCATGCGTGTGTGCGCAAACACTCGTGCTCGCCCATGCGAGCGTCCGTGTGTATGTGCCCGTGCTCGTGTCCACGAGTGTGTGCCCGTACGCGTGTCCGTGCGTCCTCGTGTGCACCCATGACCATGTACGCTGTGCGTGTGCGCGTGCCCGTGTGCATGTGCGCGAACACCAGTGCTCGCACGTGCGCGTGTGTGAGCCCGTGCGCGCATCCGTGTGTGTGCACCCGTGTGCGCGTCCTCGTGTGTGTGCCTGTGTGTGCATCTACGTGTGCGCTCCCGTGCGCACGTCTGCGTGTGTGTGCCCGTGCGTGTGTGCGCGAGCACTCGTGCTCGCCCGTGCGCTCGTGTGCGTGTGCGCGCCCGCCTCACCTCCCTTATCCACCCTTGATAGGTCGTGTCCTCTTGCGCGCAAGGTACCTGTTCGCCGGTGCGTGCTTTTCATCTTCTCTCGCTCCTCGAGCGTACGAAGGCCAACACACTTTTGTGTCAGGCACTGCCAGCAAGTGTGCTAGTCCCAAATGTCCATCCATCG